TCTCATCCTTTGTCGTTCTAAAGAGAAAAGCCCTAGCTCTCTCAACCTGTCCTCGTAAGACCTTCCCTCCATTCCAGGCAACATCCTGGTAAATCTCCTCTGCATCTTTTCCAACGCTTCCACATCTTTCCTGTAATGAGGCGACCAGAACTGGACACAATACTCCAGATGTGGCCGAACTAGGGTTTTGTATAGCTGGAGCTAACTTCACGGCTCTTGAACTCAATCCCTCTATTAATGAAAGCTAACACACTGTATGCCTTCTTAACAACTCTATCCACCTGGGTGGCAGCTTTCAGGGACCTGTGGACATGAACCCCAAGATCCCTCTGCTCCTCCACACTGCCAAGAATCTTTCCGTTAACCCTGTATTCTGCTTTCAAATTTGTCCTTCCAAAATGAATCACCTCACACTTTTCAGGGTTAAACTCCATCTGCCACTTCTGAGCCCAGCTCTGCATTCTATCAATGTCCCTTTGTAACCTAGAACAGCCCTCCGCACTATCCACAACTCGACCCACCTTCGTATCGTCCGCGAACTTACTAATCTACCCTTCCACTCCTACATCCAAATCATTTACAAAAATCACAAATAGAAGAGGACCCAGAACAGATCCTTATGGTACACCACTCATAACTGAGCACCATGTTGAATATTTTCCATCCACTACCACCCTTTGGTCTTCTAAGGGTCAGGCAATTCTGAATCCAATCTGCCACATTTCCTCCTATCCCATGCCTCCTTACTTTCTGCATGAACCTACCATGGGGAACCTTATCAAACACCTTACTTAAATCCATGTATACCACATCCACTGCTCCACCTTCATCCACGTGTTTGGTCACCTCTTCAAAGAATTCAGTAAGGTTTGTGAGGCATGATCTGCCCATCACAAATCCATGCTAACTATCACAAATCAAACTGTGCCTTTCCAAGTGATCATAAATCCTATCTCTCGGATCCCTTTCCAATAATTTGCCCACCACTGACGTAAGAGTAACTGGCCTGTAATTTCCGGGGTTATCCCTATTCCCTTTTTTAAGCAAGGGAATGATGTTTGCCTCTCTCCAATCTTCCGGCACTATATCCGTGGACAGCGAGGATGAAAAGATCATCGCCAAAGGCGCTGCGATCTCTTCCCTCGCTTCCCATAGAATCCTTGGATAAATCCCATCAGGCCCGGGGGACTTATCTATCTTCAAGTTCCTCAAAATTCCTAGTACATCTTCCTTACTAACATCGACCTCCTCTGGCCTACCAGCCTGTTTCACACTGTCCTCCCCTACAACTAGGTCCCTCTCAGTTCTGAATACCGAAGAAATGTATCTCCTATCTCTTTAGGGTCCGTGCACAAACTCCCTTTACAATCCTTGATCGGCCCTACCCTTTCTCTGGTCATTCTCTTATTCCTTACGTACGTGTAAAAAGCCTTGGAGTTTTCCTTGATCCTATCTGCCAAGGTTTTTTCATGCCCCGTTATAGCTCTCCTAAGCCCTTTCTTCAGCTCCTTCCTGGATAACTTGTATCCCTCCAGAGCCTTTTCCATTCCTTGTTTCCTAAACCTAACATAAGCATCCTTCTTCCTCTTAACCTCTCTTGAGAACCAAGGCTCCCTCACTCAACCACATCTTCCCTGCCTGCTAGGGACAAACATATCGAGCACATGCAGTATGCATTCCTTAAACAATCTCCACATTTCTATAGTGCTCTTCCTTGACAGCATCTGTTCCCATTTTATGTTACCCAGTTCTTGCCTAACAGAATTGTAATTACCCTTCCCCCAATTATAAACGTTACCGTCTTACGTCTTATATCCAGCTTACAAGGGAGAAGAGTGAGGCTAAGACTAGGATTTTAGATCGAAATAAGGGCAACTCTGCGGACAAGAAAGCTGAGTTAGTTGAAGTGAGCTCAGATATTAAACTAGGACATAGAGACTCTTAAAGGGATGTTTCAGAATACCCATGATAAGCACATGTCTCTGAGGGGAGGACCCATCATCTGTGATTAACTAAAGCAGTTAAGGAAACCATCAAACTTAAGGAAAAATGCACATAATTGCACAAAGTTGAGTGGCAGGTCAGATAACTTGTCATGATATAAAGGAATGGAAAGAATTATTAATCAGAACAAGTAAGTTAGAACTTGAGGGGAAGTTAGCTGGAAACGTAAAAACTGATAGCAAGAGTTACGATAGATCTCTGAAAAGGAAAAGAGTAAACAAAGTAAGTGTTGGCTCTCTAGGTTGTGATAGTGGGGAGCTGATAGAAACTAGTAAAGAAAAGACAGATGTAATGAATAACTATTTTTCTTCTGTCCCAACCATAGAGGATACAAAAATTATCCCTGTAATACCTATCAATCAAAAGGTGAAGGGAGAGAATAACTGGTATGATTATAATCACTAAGGAAACAATATTGAGCAAACTGATGGAGCGGTGCTTTAATAAATCTCCAGGTCCAATGGACTTCATTTTTGGGTCTTAAAGAGGTGGCTAATGAGGTAATAGATGTGGTGGTATTAAATTTCCAAAGTCCGTTAAATTCTGGAAAAGTTCCATGAAACAAAAAAAGTAGCAAATATAACCCCTGTACTCAAGAAGGGAAGGAGGCAGAAAGCAGAAAACTAGAAGCCAGTTAGCTTAATGTCTGTTCTCAGGAAGGTTTTAGAATCAATGAGTAAGGGGGTTATAACTGGGCACTTGGGAAAAACCCCAGGTAATTGGGAAGAGTCAGTATGGTTCTGTACAAGGGAAATTGTGTTTAAGCAACTTGCTATAATTTTTTGAAGGAGTAACATACACTGTAGATAAAGGAAAATGCATTGACGTACTGTACTTTGATTTCCAGAAGATATTTGACAAGGTGCCACAGAAAAGGTTATTGTGCAAAGTGGGGCCACTGCCATTAATATACCAGCAGGGATAGAAGATTGGCTGCTGGCAGAAAACAGAGTATCATAAATAACCTTCTTTAGATTGACAGCATGTGACAAGTATGTAGAACTAGGCCCTCAACATGTTACAATTTATATCAATTATTTAGGTGAGGGGTACGGAGGCATGGTGGCTAAATTTGCAGATGACTCAAAGGCAGGTAGGAAAGCATGTTGTAAAATGAGATAACAAGGATGCAGACCAATATATGTAGATTATGTGAAATGGCAAAAATCAGTCAGATTGAGTGTAACATCGGAAAATAAAGTTCACTTTAACAGAAAGAATTAAAAAGCAGAATAATATTTAGCTGGCGATTAACTGTAGAATTTCAAAGTGCAGATGGATCTAGGTGTTCTCGTGCATGAGCCATAAGAAGTTAGTCTGCAGATACAGCAAGGGATCAAGAAAGTATGGAATGGTGTTCTTTATTGTAAAAGTAATTTAAAATAAATATCAGATGTTATGCTTCAGTTATCCAGGACACTGATGAGACCACATCTCGAAATCGATATGCAGTTTTGATCTTCTTATTTAAGGAAGCCCGTGAATGCACAGGAGGCATTTCCAGGGAGCTTGATGAGATTGATATCCAGAATGAAGAAAGACTGGGCAGGCTGGACTTGTTACTGGGCTGAGAACAAAAAATGCTGGAGATCACATCGGGTTAGGCAGTATCCGTGGAGAGAGAGCAAGCTAATGATTCGAGTCTAGATGACTGTATATCAGAGCTCCTACATTGTTGTTACTGAAGTTTAGAAGAATGAGGGGTGATTTGATTGAGGCTTATAATCTCCTTTAATAGGCTTGATGAGGCATACGTGAACAAGATATTTTCTCTTGTGGATGAGTCCAGAACTAGGGGACACTGTTTTAAACTTAGGGTCGCTTTTTTAAAACAAAGATGACAGGAATTTTGTTTTGTCTCAGAGAGTTGTGCGACTTTGGAGTTCAACCCTGTAAAGGCAGTGGAGGCAGGATCATTGAATATTTTTAAGGAAGAGGTAAATTAATGCATGGGGATCACAGCAGGTCAGGCAGTACCCATGGAGAGAAAGCAAGCTAATGTTTTGAGCCTAGATGACTCTTCATCAGAACTCTGGATCTTCATCTAGACTGGAAACGTTAGATTGCTCTCTCTCCACGGATGCTGCCTGACCCGCTATGATCTGCAGCATTGTTTGTTTTCAGTACAGATTCCAGCATCTGCTGTGATTTGCTCCTGCATAAATTAATTCTTGTTAGGCAAATGAATCAAGGGTTATTGGGATCAGATGGGAATGTGGAATTTGGAACATAAGCCTTGATGTTGAAGGGCCAAATGGCCCCCTTTTTCTCTAATAAAAACCAAAATAACTGCGGATGCTGTAAATCAGGAACAAAAACAAAGTTGCTGGAAAAGCTCAGCAGGTCTGGCAGCATCTGTGAAGGAGAAAACAGAGTTAACGTTTCGGGTTCGGTGACCCTTCCTCAGAAC